ACTCAAATCCCTACAAACCAATATTTGAATGTTGAAAATTTGTTGGCCAGGTTAAAAAAGCCAAACAATTTTACACATCACGTAAATATCATTTTAGAACTGTGTGTTAGACTGCTATCAGCTAAAATTGGATATAATTAATGTCTCCAGTATGATGGCTAACAATTTTGTTACTTGTTAACAGCAAGGCGTACTGTACTCTCAGATTTCAAGTCTTGCAACTTTCAATTGTTGTCTATTAGAAGCTAGAAACTGAGCAACACACCATTTTAGAGCTCTATGCATAAAAGCATAAAAGAACTATGAAATTCAGTGAGCGTTTTAAAGCATTTAAGCGAAGATTATGTGCCTTCTGATTTCATTTATAATAATTAATTGTTACTATAGAGTCTTCGAGGTGAGTTGTCTGCAGCTGCAAACTCCCTTTCACAAGTAAGTGATTCCCGGCCGACTTACACGTAAACCTCTCTAAGTCGGTAGTGGGCTCGGTATAAAGGGAAGATTTGGCATCAGGCTAGCACCCTCACTACTGCTGAAACTTCAAAGACGAAATTTGAAGCTCTATGTTCCACTCAGCGTCGGTGGTACAGCGGTAGAATGCTCGCCAACCATGCATATGGTCCGGGATTCGATTTCTGGCTGACGCACGCCATTATCTCGCTTATTCAGTAATAAGACTGGTGAAGAGGGAAGGTTGGGCATGGGGCTAGCAACCTCATCCCGTAAAAATGAATACCACTGCTACCGAAACTTCAAGCTAGAGTCTTGAAGCCCTACGTTCCAGTGGGAACGTAAAGAAATCACCATGTCATCATGTCACGTTCCACTCAAGAAGTACAGGAATAAAACAAAAACTAAAAAACTCATGGTTATATATTTTTTTCAAAAACTTCTCTTCAAACTTACTCAAAAAACTCTCTAGCTGCAGTTGCTACAGATGAATTTACAAGTGAAATATTACGCCTGGACTGTTCTTGACAGTGTATTGTATTCCACCAATGATTACACTTTTCCCACGGTAACTCAGGTATAAATGATGCGAAGAAGTAAAAAAATGACCAAGCTATAATTACATTATAATAAAGGCTGGCAAAAAATATCAGGACAACTGAAGCCCATCCAATGCCTGAAAAATATATGAAGAAAACAAAAAATATGCGCATTGAGTTGAATTGAAATTCTCATTGCTTTAATATCATTCTCTGAGTAGGTCAAGCGATTCACGATAAGTAAGGTGAAAATGATTTCTCATCTTCTTGGAGTTTAAAATTCAGAACGTAACACCTGAACGTACAAACTTATTTTAACACACTAATGAGTTATGAAATTCATTTAGCCAAGATCAAATCACATACAGTGATTCCCTTTTATAAATTTGAACAAAGAAAGAATAAACATTTTCACAGAATAATCTGGATCCATTTTATTTCGTTGGTTCTCATCAGCTGCGTACAACCTGAAGTCTTTCATAAAAGTAAAATAAAAAGTGTGCAATTTTAACAAACATTTGCCCATTAGCAAGCCTACTATCAGAGCGTCATAGGGAAATGAGGCGTTGCGATTTACTGGGTGTCTAAAGTGTTACGACATATATATATTGTTTCTTGAAAAGAAAATTAATTAACAGTTGTGTTGTTGGGGTGGTAACAAAAGACAATTAGTAATAGTTAATTGAGTAGACAAGAGAAGATCAAAATTTCGGTGCATATGAGGTCAGATAAGAAGTTGATGGTGTGATACAGTGAGCAGAACTCAGAAGATCAAGAAAAATTATCTCTGAAGGGAGTCAAGCGAAAAATAAAGGGGGGAGTGAAAAGATAAGTTAACAAAATTAACAAAAATAGAAAACAAAGAGTTACTAAGAAGGGAGTCACCAGCGTAATTGAACTCCAACAACGGATTCTTTTTGGACACACATAAGTCAGGCTTCAATCCTTTTATTGCTATAGCTTCAGCAAACCTGTGAAAACTTGAGGTACTTTATCTGTTAATTATTTTGAATGATTCCAGCACATCTACTCGGTGTCCTGTGTCAATCAGGTGCTTGGCGATTGAAGAGCTTAAACAATTCGTCCCCTTTCACCGTAGGCTCCTTGGTACATGTTCGCAGAATCTGACGTAGACCCTCCTCTCTGTTTTTCTAATGTAACTGCTCCCCCAGATATATATGAATTGGTATACACATTTGGAGGTAACATGTGACGGGTATTTGTCAGTCTTTGGCTGCACCAGTGAGGAGGTTGTTCGGGATAGTTAGACTAATAACGCTGCAGGATACGTCCTAGACAGGGCCGCGCTTAATCTTTTATTTACCATTCTCATAATATCGTCGCCCTTGTAGTCGAGTTTGATGAAAATAGGCTTCTTACTGATTGTAGCTGTATCAAGCTTCTTGAGTTCATTCTTGACATATTGGTTAATGAAACTTTTTGGCTAACCATTTTCTTTCAAGCATTTTTCAAGAAGCATTAGTTCACTGTCTAGTTTGTTTGGCGAACATATCCTCTTCGCTCTAGAGAAAAGCGGTTTTACCAGCGTTCGTTTGTATCTCACTGGACAGGAGGTGTTGAAATTCAAGTAAAGACCACTCCATGTGTCTTTACGATATACAGATCTTTCGAGTGTCCCGTCGTATTTTCTCTCCAACTTAACGTCCAAAAAGTGGAATTTTTCATCATCTTCATGCTCCATCGTGAAAGTGATGCTTTTGTGTACATTGTTGAAAGAGTCTAGTAGAGACGAAGCGTGACTCAAGTCATTGCATACAATGAATGTGTCATCAACATCTCTATTGTGGGCTGTTGTTTCGCCAATTGCATACTTGAGCTTTGTCTGTTCCAGACTGGCCATCAAAATATCAGCTAATATCGGGGCCAGTGGACTCCCGATTGCCACACCATCAACCTGGCGATACATTTTGTTGTAAAACTGCAATTGTATATCTTTAGTACATAACACGAGAAGCTGCTTAAATTCCAGTTTTGGTGGAGGAAGAAGATCAGAGTGTTGACAGATGATGTCCAATGTCTCATGCAGAGGGATCTGCGTGAATACAGAAGTCACATCGAAGGAAATCATGATTTTGTCATGTACACTGAGTTGATTCACCTCTTCAAAAAACTGGAATGGGTCTTTTGGAGTATGTTTAGCTAGACGTTGTCTGACAGGTTCTAACCTATCGGCTAACCAGCGAGCAGCTTTGTGAAAGGGTGAATTCACTACTGAGATTATTGGTCTCATTGGGCAATTCTTTTTTTATGTATTTTCGGCAGACCATAAATATATGGTAGACGAGACCCTGTGGGTTTTAACTCATTGTACGTTTGATTGTCAATCATTTTCTTTTTCAATAGCTTTCTGAGTACTTTCGTGACTTTCTTTTCGGCCGAATCCGTCATATCCCTTTTGCAATTATCAATCCTAAATTTCGATATGTCATTCAGAATGGACTCCATTTTTTGGACATATTCAGCCTTGTTCATCACTACCACGCCTGAACCTTTGTCTGGTCGCAGTATGACGATATCTTCATTGTTGAGCAGACGTTTAATTGCTTTTCGGTGCTCTTTCGTCATGATTCTAGACTCTTAAATTGGTGAGCATAGGTACTGGTCAAAGATAACAACTAGTCTTGATTTGAGCCAACGTTTCTTATCCTTACTAAGTCGTTTAACTGGTTGAATAAATTCTCGAATTGGGCTTCTGTGTCTATTTTATTCACAAATCGGAACTTGAAACCAAGTGAAAGTGCCTCAATTTCATTTTGCTTTAGCTTTACACTTAACTGACTGATAACATATTTTTCGGGGTTTTCCGGGAAGCCTTCACATAATTGTTCTTTCACTAATGTCTTCAATAGGGTCATGAAGAAGTTTGTTCAACAAAAATTTTGAACGAAACTTAGACTGATCGGATATAATGTTAGGAGACAGTTAAGTGACGTCGTACGCCATGCTATCGCTCGAGTGGAACCCAGGTGGGAAATGACAAATTGGGCAAGGGTACGAGGGTGACTTGGAGGAGATCGTGTGGGGCGGGTGGGGGTAGGTTACGAAAGCTTATGGGCAATCATGCAGCTTGCTAAACAGGATGACTGTTGAAGACGTATATTTCACTCAGAACCTAAGGGAATCCTACTAACAGTGAGGTTATGCTTAAGGCACTTGTGGTATCAACTTAAGAGAAGTGGGGCGAGATACCATTCGAAGTCTAGTTTCATCCTTCTTAGAAATTGGCCTTGTCTAACATGAAATAAAAGAAAACTTAGTGAATGTTCACCTGCTTTTGGGTTAATGAAGTTTGGTAAAAGGTATTTTATACAGAAGTGATAACTCAACGATACTTTAAGCCAATATTGCTAAACATATTTAGCCTGCTAATCAAACGTTTACTAATGAAATCCGTCCAAAAGTAATTTAACTCTTAAATTACGGCTTTACTTTCCTTCGGCTTACTGAATAAATGGCTAAATCATAGTGCATTGTTATTTATGAATGGATAAGAAGTTCTCCAGGTAGTTGTAAACTTCATTATCAGTCTTGAAATTCATTTAGTTACTAAGCTTTCTGAGCTGATCTCTCATTTTATCTATTTATTTTCCGTTCGAAACAAACAGAAGGACGGTCTTAGAAAAATGGCAAAATCTACTTTTTACAGCAAAGTCATTTGTACATCGCCAGTTACTAGAAGTTATAATTGATGGGGCAGTGAATTCCATTCCAGTGACCGTATGGTGAACGAGTTCACCTTGTAACTCGAAGGTCTTAGGTTCAAACTCTGGTGGTGCCATGAGTGCACACGTCTGAAGAGTCCCAATGTAGGACGTTACAACTGTCCAACACTGCCTAGTGATTTTTTCAATGGTTCCCTAACCGAAGTCAATTGCTGATCAAACTCGTAATAGAATGCAGTTATAAAAAAAGAACAGGGGAAATAGACAAGGCATTGAGGTGTTGAACAAACATCTTTATATAATGACGTAATAATATAGTCAGAAGCCAACTCGCTATGGCAACCGGAACGAACAAAAAATGGTTGTAGGCATCCTATCTATTCCTATTCATTAATTATTTACTCGCTTAACAGCTGTTAAGATACTGAAACGGCACAAAATTTTTCAGTGCACAGTATCAAAAATAGGTGTTATTGATTTCACTAGCTTAGAGATATTTGGCATAACAGAAAAATGTTATTCGATATCACATACAGCATTTTTTTGATTGATAAAGTTTAGAGCATAATTTATCTGCTCATAATCACAATAAGGTACTCACATAACCTTTGGATTTTGTTTAAAAATGAGTATCATTTCTCATCCTTTTATTTTATTAGTAGTAATACTTTTCGTAATCGCAGTATAGGCGTTTGTTAGAGATCACTGGAAACCAGGAAGCACTGGACACTTGTTTTGTCCTAGTTCGGGGCTCTTCACAGCGCGCATCCACTACCCCATCAGGAATTGAACAAAGGACCTTTCAAGTTACGAGACCGTGCGCGTTAGCCATCCAGCCACTTGGGCTGGAATTCGACGAACTGTGAATTCTAACCAGGGTGGAAATCAGAGTGGCATTTCAATTCACAGGTTAAAGAATTCCGCTGACCTGATTAGACCTTCCAATGACTTTGAAGTCATTCACATAAGTTATAACAGATGATTGTGGTAATGAAGATCTCAAAATTAGGAATCATTATCTCAGAACCTTAGATTATCGAACCAACTGCAAACAGGTGCAGTAGGATATCATTTATTTTAATTTGTTTTATTATTGACACATTTTCCCAGTGAGAAGTCGTCCGTCCTCTACTGGAAACCACAGCTTTTGGCGAAGGCTGCACAACTGGTTAAGAGGGATAAACGATTCACAAAAACAGCTCATCTTCAGTCACCTTGGTGAATACATGCAGAGAAAATTGTCTAAATTCAAAACTGATACTCCTCATTGTAACTGGGACGTATTTTTAAGTCATGTCAGAGTAAGATACCCTGTTTAATGTGTTTTCATGGATTTTCGTGTAAATATACGTTATTTTCTGTGCAAAAGTTCCTCATTTTTATGACCCTGATCCTAACCCTAACCCCAATACTTACCTTAACCCTAACGAGCTATTAACACATTGTCCAACCAG